AAGATTTTTTTTTTTTTGAGTTGGAGTTTCACTCTGTCGCCCAGACTGCAGTGCAGTGGCATGCTCCTGGCCATCGCAGCCTTGGCCTTCCAAGCAGCCAGAACTACAAGCGTGTGCTACCATGCCTGGCTAATTTTTTATTTATTGTAGAGACAAGGTCTCACCAAGTTGCCCGGGTGGGTCTTGAACCTGCAGGTGCAGGCAATCCACTCACCTCAGCCTCCCAAAGCGCTGGGATTATAGGCTGAGCCACCTAGAAAGGTATTATTATTATCTTTATTTTACAGATAAGGAAATCGAGGCATAGAGAGGTTAAGTCGTCCGCTCAAAGTCACACAGTTAGTAAATGGTAGAGCTGGGATTCGAACCCAGGCCTTGTGCCTGAGGCTATGCCTGGACAGTAGTTACCCCTTTATTCACAGGGGATACACTCCAAGACCCCCAGTGCAATGTCAAAACCACAGATAGAACAGAACCCTACATATACTATGCTTTTTCCTACACGTGGGTACCTATGATAAAGTTTAATTTATAAGTTAGGCACAGGAAGCGATTAACAATAACTAATAACAAAATAGGCCAGGTGCAGTGGCTCACACCTGTGATTCCAGCACCTTGGGAAGATGAGGTGGGAAGATCACTTGAGGTCAGGAGTTCGAGACCAGCCTGGGCAATATACGAGGTCCAACAGTTAGGTTCACAAACCACCCTAAAAAAAGCCCAACCTACCTCGTTGCTAAATATCACTATGGTCACCTTCAGAGTGCTCCCCTTGTGAAGCTGTGCGCTAACTCCAGTGCCTAGTCCACCCTCAAAGCAACTTTGGCGCTACTCTTTTTCTTGAACGCCCATCAGAGCTATTGTGATTCGTTGAGGTGTGACAATTAAGTTCTTGAACTTGCTGCCACGCACTTACCTTGGCAGCCCTGTACAAATAACTGTGTCGGAGCACCCTCCCTACTCACCTGATTTGGTCCCCAATGACTTTTTTCTTTACCCAAAGATAAAGGAAACATTGAAAGAAAGACATTTGATGATAGTCAGGACATCAAGGGTAATATGATGACGGCTTTGATGGACATTCCCGAAAAAGTGTTCCAAAATTGCTTTAATGGGTGGACTAGGTGCTGGGGTCGGAGCATAGCTTTTCAAGGGGAGTACTTTGAAGGTGGTGACCAGACTGATATTCAGCAATGAGGTATGTAGCACTCTGTCCTAGGATGAGTTCGTGAACTTAACTGTTGGACCTCGTAGTGAGGCCCCCATCTCCAGCTTAAAATTTTAAAAAGTAAAAATAAAATAAAACAGAACAACTATAACAAAGTGCCAGCATCACTCCTCTTGCCCCTGTGGCCATCAGTAAGCAAAATAAGAGTAACTTGAACACAGGCACTGCAAGGCACCGCAGAGGATCTGGAACCAAGGTGATTAAGTGGGTAGGTGGTGTGTACAACATGGATCTGCTGGACACGGGGATGGCTCACGTCTCAGAGCAGAACAGCGAGCGATTTCATCACGTTCAGAATGGCCCACAACGTAAAACTCGTGCAGTTTTCATTTTTTTACTTTAAAAAAATGGAACCTTTCCATGCCATGTTTTCAGACCTCAGTGGATTGCAGGTCACTGAAACCTCAGAAAGCAGCACTGAAGATAAAGGGGTTGACTACCGTAAGCACTGTGCTCACTCCCTCGCAGCAGTTTCTAGCATCTAAAGCAGAAACTCCCCAGGAGACTTCATCCCACTCCACACACATACCGTGCCCTATTTCACAGCACGATGTCTTGAAGGAGCTGCCGTAAGTGGCTATCTGGCCTTGCCTCAGGGACCAATGCCTCCTCTCACCACCCAGTCAGCCCCCCTCAGCCCATAGCTGCTCTGGGAGAGTTACCTGAGACCCTGTGCAGCAGCGTCCACGGTGGGTTTCCTCTCTGATGGGCCCTCAGCAGCCCCTGGGTTTCTGTGACTATCAGTTCCACGATCCTGCTTTCCCTGCTCCCTCTGTCTATCACTCCTCAGTCTCCTTTGCCGACTCCTCTCCCAGCAGAGGGCAGGGCCCCTTCCACGTTTCCTGGGGTGTCTTTTTATGCTCCAATGGCTTTAAAAGATAATCTAGGGCAGTCCCTTTGGGTCCCCTCCCACTGTGTGAACTTCTCTGTCCTCAATAAATCCTGCTTTCTAAAAAAAAATATCATCTAGATATGGCAGCACCCACCTGTGTAACCCTGGACTCCACTTGGAACTCAGGAGTCTTGTACTCACCGGCCCCCTGACATCTCCGTGGGGACTGGGACAGGCTTCTCAACCTCATCACAGTTTCCCCCAGCCTGCCCTCCTGCTCTTGGCCACAGAGCCATTTACCTGGTTGCCCAAGGCCCAAACCCAGAGGCTACTTTTTGTTGTTTATTTCTTCACTCTCCTACTTCAGTCCACAGCAAGTCCTCTTGCTTCTTCCTCCAGAGTGTTTCCTGAATCCGTTCACCTCCTCTGTGTCTCCATTGCCATCCTGGTCTAAGCCACTACCTCATCCCTGTGGACTGTTATAACAGCTGCCTGGCAGACCCCTGCTTCACCCTCGCCCATCTGACTTGTTCTTCACATCACACAGGATCTTTTAATGATGTAAATCAAGTCATGTCCACTCATCTTTTTTTTTTAATTTTTAATTTTAAAGATGCGGGGTACAATTCAGGGTCAGGTATACAAATGTTCATCATGCAGGCACCCCCATTGATGACCTCCCACCACTGCCAACCTCCCACCACTGCCAATCTGGCCCCTCTCCCTCCCCTGGCAGTCTGCCACTACTGCAAATCCCTCTCTTGCAGCATCACGACAATTGTTCAAGGTCCACTTATGAGTGAGAACATGTGATAGTCAGTTCTTTGTTTCTGCGATAGATCACTCAGTATTATAGCCTCTAAGTCCATCCAAGTTGCTGGGAAGTTTATAATTTTGTCCTCCTTTATGGCTGTGTAATATTCTCTCATGTATATGTAACACATTTTTTTAATCCAGTCCTCTTTCAATGGGTAGCACAGTTGGTTCTGTTTTTGCTATTGTGAACAGTGCTACGATAAACATGTGTGTGCAGTTATCTTTTTCATAGAGTGATTTGTTCCTCCAGGTATATTCCCAGTAGGGGGATTGCCGGGTTGTATGGAAAGTCGATTTTTAGATCTTTTAGGAATCGCCATACTGTTTTCCACAGAGGTTTTATTAGTTTACACTGCCACCAACAGTGTAGAAGTGTTCCCTTTTCCCCACATCCTTTCCAGCATCTGTTTTTTGAGTTATTGATGATGGCTATCCTGACTGGAGTTAGGTGGTATCTCAGTGTGGTTTTCATTTGCATTTCTTTGATGACTAGGGAGGCTGAGCATTTTTTCATGTATCTATTGGCTGCTCATATGTCTTCTTTTGAGAAGTATCTACTCATATCTTTTGCCCACTTTGTAATGGGGCTGTTTGTTTTTTTCTTTTCAGCACATTTGAGTTCCTTGTAGATCCTAGATGTTAGGGCTTTGTCAGATATACAGTTGGCAAATATTTTTCCCCTGTCTGTGGACTGTCTCCCTGCTCTCTTGATGGTTTCTTTGGCTTTGCAGAAGCTATTCAGTTTGATGAGGTCCCACTTGTCTATCTTCTCTCTTATGGCATGGGCACTTAGGGTTTTGATCAAGAATTTGTTGCCAGTTCCAATTTCTATAAGGGTGTCTCCTCCATTTCCTAAGGTTCTTATAGTTTGAGGTTTTATGTTTAGGTCTTTGGTTGATTTAGAGTTGACTTTTGTGTATGGTGATAGATAAGGGTCTTGTTTTAATCTTCTGCGTGTGGTTAGCCAGTTTTCCCAGCACCATTTACTGAATAGGTTCTCCTCTCCCCAGTGGTGGGTGATGGAGGCTTTGTCGAAGATGAGTTGGTTGAGAAATTGAGGTTTTGCTTCTGGAATCTCTGTTCTGTTCCATTGGTCTATATGCCTGTTCTTGTACCACTCTCAGGGTATTTTGATTATTGTAGCTTTATAAAGTTTAAAGTCTGGGAGTGTGATACTTCCTGCTTTGTTTTTTTTGCTGAGGATTATTTTGGCTATTCATGGTCATTTATGTTTCCATATGAATTTCTATATTGTCATTTCCAGGTCTGAGAAGAATGCTGCTGGTAATTTAATGGGTATTACATTAAATCTGTAGATTGTCTTGGGTAGGATGGATATCTTAACAATGTTGATTCCTAGCTGGGCTCGGTGGCTCAGCCTGTAATCCCGTGCCTTGGGAGGCTGAGGTGAGTGAATTGCCTGAGCCCGCGGGTTCGAGATCTGCCTGGGCAACTTGGCGAGACCTCATCTCTACAATGAGTCAAAAGAATCAGCCAGGCATGGTAGCGCATGCCTGTAATTCCGGCTACTCGAAAGGCTGAGGCAGAAGGATCGCCAGAGCCCAGCAGGTCGAGGCTGCGGTGGCCGGGAGTGGCCACTGCACTCCAGTCTGGGCGATAGAGTGAGACTCCAACTCAAAAACAAACAAACAAAAAACAATGTTGATGCTTTCAGTCCATAAGCATGGAATGTTTTTCCATTTGTTTATGTCATCTTTGATTTCGAACAGTGTTGTGTAGTTTTTGTTGTAAAGGTTTTTCACTTCTATGGTTAGGAAGATGCCGAGGTATTTCATTTGTGTGTGTGTGTGTGTGTGTGTGTGTGTGTGTGTGTGTGTGTGTGTGTGTCTATTGTGAATGGGATTGTACAATTTTTATTTCCACTCACCTTTTGAAAGCCCTCCCATGACTTCCCACTCTGCTTAAAATAAAATCCAAATATCCTCAAAGCCCCTCCTCAATGCAGCTGTGTCCTCACCTGAGGTGGTCCCAGCTACCACGTGGGCACAGGTGGGGATTCCTGGCTGTCGACCATAATCAGATTATTTTAGCAGACTCCATATCACCCTGAAACAGAATCCAGGCTTTTTCTGCTCAGCTTTGCAAGGCCTCCACTCATTCAGATCTCATCTGAAATACCACCTTTTCAGAGTTGTCTGCCTTGGCTACTAACATAGCCACCAGTTGGTCTCTACAGAACCCAGCTGTAACTCTCTGATGTTTCTGGTATTCGTTTATGAGAAATGGGATCTTCCCCTTTATTCGCTGTTTTATTTTCATCCTAGAACTGTTCCTGGTAGACAGAGGTAAGCAGCAACCATTCATTAAACAAATGGATGCATGAAGGAATGAATGATGTACTTTCCTGAGATGTTCAGTATAAACGCTGAGCAATCAACGAGTTCCGTCTTTGAGGTTAGCTTAAACACGCAAAGTCAAAGCTTCTTCCTGACACCGAGCTTTTTTTTCCTCCAGGCTCTCAGTCCAGCTAAGCATCCGCACGTTTGCCTCCAGTGGTCTGATTTACTACATGGCTCATCAGAACCAAGTCGATTACGCCACGCTGCAGCTCCACGGGGGCCGCCTCCACTTCATGTTTGACCTTGGTAAAGGCAGGACAAAGGTCACTCACCCTGCACTGCTGAGTGACGGCAAATGGCATACGGTACGTCCTCAGGAGGCTTGCAATCCCTGGTTTCGAGTTTTAGTCCATCTGTCACGGGTGTTCACTCCATTTCATCGAAGGTAAATTATTCCCTTTGATCTAGCTTGCCATGTATCTAGTATCTTCCCAGAGAATGCAAGCCCCTTGAAGGCAGGAATCTTTTCTGCTTCTGAAATAGCCCCAGGGCCTTGCTCAGTCCCAGACACCAAATACTCACTCAGCAAACACTGGTGGGATGAATAAAAGGTCCCAGAAATATTCTCAACTTGGCAAGGAGTAAATAAAGTCCACCCAAGCTCCCATTATGGTGTTTGCTTTGCTTTCTTTTTTTTTTTTTTTTTTTTTTTGAGTTGGAGTCTTACTCTGTCACCCAGGCTAGAGTGCAGTGGCACACTCCCCACCACCCCAGCGTTGACCCACTGTGCTGCACTCCGGCGATCCTTTTGCCTCAGCCTTCAAGTAGCCATAAGTACAATCACACACTACCACACCTGGCTAATTTTTTATTTTATTGTAGAGACGAAGTCTTGCCAAATTGCCTGGGCTGGTCTTGAACCTGTAGGCTCAGGCAATCCACTTGCCTCGGCCTCCCAAAGTGCTGAGATTACAGGCTGCCTTTGCTTTCTGATAACCAGGACACTGGGACCATTTCTGGTCTGCAGTGTGCTTTTCCTGTGCCTGCTTCCTGTCTTCTGTTAGGATTGGTTGCTTCTCATCAAAATCTGAGCCATCCTTCAGGATTGCATTCGGGCTATGACAGCTATCATAGATAGATGTTGCAAGCATATATCTGTTAAAGTCTTCCCAGATGCCTTAAGAATTGTGGATTTTCATCTCGCTACAGGTCAAGACAGAGTACTTTAAAAGAAAGGGCTTCATGACTGTTGACGGCCAAGAGTCCCCCACGGTGCCCATAGAGGGAGACAGCACCACGCTGGATGTGGAGGGGAAATTGTATCTGGGAGGCCTGCCTTCCGACTACAGAGCCAGGAACATTGGGAATGTAAGCAACCGTTTCCATACCAGTGTTTCACCTTTGTTGTGGTTATGTTTTCTTAGGGCACAGTTCTTTACCTTTATATGTTTAAATTCTCTTGTTTTAACTGAGCCTGGCTGTAAGATGCAGACCTTTGGAAACATTCCTGTAGATCATGTGTTGGGGCGTCCCCTTAGTGCATGACCAGCCTTTCCAGCCACGAGCTAATGAACAGTTCTCTTTCTGCAGCCACTTGGCCCCAGCACAATTCAGAAAAGCCTAGCAGATTTGTATTTGCAAATCAGTAAACTCTGCATTCCAGATTTCCATGATATTTCATTAAAATAATAGAAGACACTTCTACTGTATCATGAGCCAAAATACTCAAATGGTAGCTTTAAGTTAAACATCCACGCAAAGTACGGTGGAAATTAAATATTAAAAACCGAAAGATAACATTTCAATGTGTGTTTTTGAGACAGATTTGGTGAAGTATGAGAGATGTGTCCTGGCCTTTCTCATAATCACTCCATCTCCTCTCATGTGTCATTTGGTCTAGATCACCCACAGCATCCCTGCCTGCATCGGGGATGTGAGAGTTAACAGCAAACAGCTGGACAAGGACAGTCCGGTGTCCGCCTTCGCAGTGAACAGGTGCTATGCAGTGGTCCAGGAAGGAACTTTCTTTGACGGGAGTGGATACGCAGCTCTTGGTATGTATTATTGGCAGTCTCGAAAGCAATCTTTGGGATTAACCTGTACTCTAAAACAACATGGATCCAAGAAGTATAGGATAAGACAGGATCCCACTGGACAAGGCTGCAGGAAGGTTGCATTGAGTTTCTGTTCCAGTTATTCCTAATCTCTTGACTCTTCATGTAAGTGTCGTCTTAACCGGGCTCGGTGGCTCAGCCTGTAATCCCATGCCTTGGGAGACTGAGGTGAGGGAATTGCCTGAGCCTGAGGGTTCGAGACCCGCCTGGGCAACTTGGTGAGACCTCATCTCTACAATAAATCAAAAAATGAGCCAGGCGTGGTAGCGCACACCTGTAGTTCTGGCTACTTGGAAGGCTGAGGCGAAAGGATCGCCGGAGCCCAGCAGGTCGAGTCTGCGGTGGCTTGGAACAGCCACTGCACTCCAGTCTGGGTGACAGTGAGACTCCATCTCAAAAAAAAAAAAAAAAAAGTGTCGTCTTGTGCACCCAGACAGCGGGAGACAGTTTTTCTCCCACCAGGAGTGGTGTGACTCTCACAGAAGCCAAACGTGGGGTGCTGGTTTCTTTTGTATTCTTCCCCAAATTCATGTAAAATGCACACTCACTATCCAAGTTACTAAAGGCCTTCGAATTTAAAAAATCCCAAAGCAGAGGGTTCTGCAGAAGATTGGTGGGGGTGGCAGCAAGCAGACCGTCTCTCCCTCACTCTGTGCTTCCTGTCACCTGCCTGGGAGGCTCAGGATCCAGTCTTGCTGGGCAACCCCCTCCCGCTCCGTGGTCTTAGCTCCCCTGGGTGCACCAGCTTCTCTGGCAACACCAGCTGCCTGTTATCACCAATATCCCCACCTTGGCTTCTCAACTTTTTTATCACTTGAATTTTAAAAATCATCCCATTCTTTCTCTACTTTTTCAAAGACCTGGTGTAGACTCTGATACACTCAGCAAATGATGATAGGCCTAACACGTGGCTACTGAGAACATTCCTGGATGATGATAATGGGGTTACAGGGTCAAATCCCAACAGCCCACAGGAAAGAGTGCTACAGGAGGGACGTGTCCACAGGGCAGGGGGGCGCCCGAATGCCTTCTTGGCCCACAGTTGAAGGAAGTGCCTCCCTCTGCTCTGGTTTGGCTTATCCCAGCCAATTGCACGTGTCTTTTTTTTTTGAGTTGGAGTCTCACTCTGTTGCCCCCACACTCCACCGTGGACCTGGTGGGGTGCGGCAATCCTTCCACCTCAGACTTCCAAGTAGCCAGAACTATAGGCGCACGCTACCACACCCAGCTAATTTTTTATTTATTGTAGAGACAAGGTCTCACCAAGTTGCCCAGGCTGATTTTGAACCCGCGGGCTCAGGCAGTTCGCTTGCCTCAGCCTCCCAAAATGCTGGGATTATAGACTGAGCCACCAAGCCCGGACAATACGTGCCTTTTTTTAAAGTCCCACTTCACCAGGCACTGTTGCTCACGCCTGTAATCCCAGCACTTTGGAAGGTGGAGGTGAGAGGATTAACTGAGTCCGGGGGTTCGAGACCAGTCTGGGTAACTTGTTGAGACTTAGTCTCTAAAATTAAAAAGTATATATATATTAGCTAGGCCGTGGTAGCTTGTAGTCCCAGATACTCAGGAGACTGAGGCAGGAGGATTGCCAGAACTCCTAAGAGGTCAAGACTGTGGTGAGCCATGATTGTGTCACTGCTCTCCAGCCTGGGTGACAGAGTGAGACTCTGACTCAAGAAAAAAAATCCACTTTAAAAACCTCATTTCATCTTACAGATGTGGAAGCTGAGGCTCAGAGAGCAGGAATGACCCACTGGTGCCTAATTGCGCAGCCAGCCAGCCTAGCCTGCGCCTCTCTGAGCCTGAGCCCAGCAGTGTTCACCCCTGACTCTGGGCTGTCCTTGTGTCTTTCAGTCAAAGAAGGCTACAAAGTACGGTCAGATGTAAACATCACACTGGAGTTTCGTACCTCCTCAAAGAACGGCGTCCTCCTGGGGATCAGCAGTGCCAAAGTGGATGCCATTGGACTAGAGATTGTAAACGGCAAGGTAGGTACTGCGTTTCAATGTGCCTCCTCCCTCCAGGGTCAGGAGACAGAACAATTGAGAAACAGGAGAAACACCTAGATCCAAACTTCCAATGATTCCTGTAAAAATGGGTATTTCTTAAAAGCTCTTTTCTTTATTTTTAATTTTTTTAAGTTTTTTAAAAAATGACATCTTTATATATTTGAAATTAAACTTTCAGCAAAATTGCAACGACAAAACAAAGAATTTTTTTTACTGCCCATCTGAGCATAAACTGCTGACTTGATGCCCTATTCCTTCTATTCCTTCTAGCATTTTCTAAACATGTCATTTGGAAATCACTATAGTGTCATAGGAAGTTACAATGAATTGTAAAGGAATGGCCCCATGCGTGCCTTACCCAGGCTTCCCAGTGGTAACCAAAGGACAGCGTCAAATCCCTGTGCAATTCGCAGAGCCCCTCCAGTGCACCAGTTATTCAGGCACACGTGTGTGTGTGTGTGTGTGTGTGTGTGTGTGTAGCTTTACACAATTTTATCACATGTAGCTTGTGATATATGTGTATAGCCATCTCCACAGCCAAGATACTCAACTGTATCACTACCGCAAGCCTTCCCTGAGCTACCCCTCCATGGTCACACCCACCCCCTTCACCCCTAGCCCCGGCGACCATTAATCTGGTCTCCATCTCTCTAACTGCATCTAACTCTCTAACTCCGTCTCTTTATCAGTCATCCAGGTGGTTGTGTGTATCCACAATCCACTCCTTTTTATCGTGGAGTATTACTCCATGGTTTGGAGGTGCCACACTTGAATTTGTTTTTTAAAGAAAAAATTGCAATTTTTTCCTATGACTCTTCTCCCCTTGTTTTTCACCCTTTCATGTTGGGAACATTATGAACCCAGCCATGTTCAGCCCTTTGGTCTCTTTTGCTTTAAAACCAGCTGTTCTCGAGTGTCTCCCAACTCTCCCTCTCCTGGTCTTCGGGGCAGCCTCTGTCCTCTGCATACGTGATCAGTTGTAAGGGGTTGGTCTGGGTGTCAGCATTGCTGCTGCTTGGGGACAGTTCCTGGAGCATCTGGCCAGCGTCCCTTGTGGCATGGGTACTGACGCCTCTTCATCTTCAACCCCCTTCCACTATGAGGACTTGGGGATTTCTGCCATGCCACACAGGCCATGGGGAGTCAGGGATGGTGGCCTCTCTGGTCCTCTCTCTACCTCACTGTATTTTGCCAACGTTTCTACTGCCCTGAGGTGAACTCTTGTTGTTATAACAGTAAGATACTTGATTGTCCAGAGCTTACTGCCTCCTGGAAGGCATGGGACATGTTTTTCTATGTTCTAGATCCACAAGACTTATCTAGTTGTTTCTAGTATTTTCCTACTTAGTCCTGTGGGATTTTGATCCCTAGGACATCCCAGAATGGGGGTGGGGAGGACCTTAGAAGGTGGTGTCTACCTTTGCATCTTTCACCTCTTCTCTTCATGTTGAATCACAACTGACTCCAAGTCATGTCATGCTGCTGCCTCTCGAGGCTGACTTACAGCCAATTTTTTTCCTCATCTATACTTTAAAAGAATTTTGAAAAACGTATCTATTTGCACATTTTGTGTGACATCTGAAAAATGTCATCAGAAGTGTGATACCTGCAAAAATATAATTTGCTGCTATATTTTACCTCTGTTCTTATTGACTTATATTGTTCTTTTAAAACCTTTTCTAGTGGTTGCCCAAGGGTTTATAATATACCTCTTTGTCACAGTCCCCATTGAAATAACACTGAGCAGTTTCATATATAGCATAAGAATCTTCCAACGGTACACTTGAAATTCTTTCCCCCAGTCTTAGTCTGCTCGGTCTGCCTAAACAAAGTGCCACAGACTGGGTGGCTTAAACAATAAACTTTTATTTTCTCACATTTCTGGAGACTAGAAGTCTGAGATCAAGGTGTCAGCAGGGTTGGTTTCTTCTCCCTGGTTTGCAGGTGGCCATGGACTCCCTGTGGCCATGGACTTCCCTCTGTGCAAGTCTGTGCCCTAATCTCTTCTTCTTATAAGGACATGGTCAGCCTGGATCAGGGCCACTATAGTGACCTCTTTTTAACTTGATGGCCTCTTGAAAGGTTGTATCTCCCAATACCGTCACATTCTGAGGTACTAGGGTGAGGATTTCAGACTGTGAATTTTGGGGCTATGCTGTTTAGCCCGTAACATTTTCCATCTTTTGCAAATTTTAGATTGTTTTGTTACCACTCACTGTGGAAGAGCATTCACCATCTGTCAGAAGGGAGTAGTGAATATTCCCTCATAGGTGCTATCAATGGATATGACCCAACGCCTTCAGTAAGCTTATCAAATCCTGAAATGTCCGAAATGCCCCGAAAAGGAGGCACCAATTTATGATGCTGGTGACTCAGACTTGTTGTCATGGAGGGGGCCATTTGCCCTTTCTGAAATTTGGAGACTAGTAGAACATCAGCATCTTTTAAAAGGCTGTTTTTCAAAAACAATTGTTCATTTTTCACGGCCAGCTCTCCTTTTAACAGGATGTTATGATTTTATCCACTCCGAGAGCATTATACCAATAAATGGACTGTGTTCCTCAAATATGGATAAACTCACCAGGATGTTTGCTTTGTTTAGCTCTTGTTTCATGTCAACAATGGTGCTGGTAGGATCACCGCCACATATGAGCCCAGAGCTGCCACTACACTTTGTGATGGGAGGTGGCACACACTTCAAGCGAACAAAAGCAAGCACCGTGTCGTTCTGACTGTCGATGGGAATGCAGTTGCAGCCGAAAGCCCACACACCCAGTCCACCTCGGCAGACACCAACAATCCCATTTATGTGGGTGGCTATCCTGGTACGTATGCATATCCGCTGTGCTCGTCCACTTATCAGGGACACTGTCCCTGGGGAAAGGCTTAGTTCAGGTGGATCTAGAATAAGGATTGAGAAAGAAACATGGTGTGGGTGACAAATCCTTGACCATTTTAGAAAAGCTACAAGGGAGAACCCCCAAAAAATCCTGGAATTTGTTTTATAAAAATTGTGTATTTACTCTTATGTGTTTAAACATTTGTCATCTTCAAAGTACTCTCTGTTTGATGCAATACACCCATCGAGATGCTTTTTCCACTACTCAAAACAGTTTTTGAACTCGTCAATTTTGATGCCTTTTAGTGCTTCTGTTGTTTTTTGTTTCACCTCTTCCACATTAGCAAAACATTTCCCTTTGAGGACTTTTTTCATGCGGGAAACAAAAAAGTGGGTGAGATCAGTTAAATAGGGAGGGTGGGACATGGGAATCATGCCATCTTCAGTCAAAAACTGCTGAATATTCAGCAGAATGTGGGCTAGTGCACTCCTAAATCAAACATCCTGGAAGAATCCCCCCAAAATTCACTGAAGCTGAACACAACATCTCACAATGCTAGCTGATACACTGATGCCAATGGATTCCTACATACCTAGCAGAGGAAGCCTGTACTACAAGGGGTTTGCCCTTCAAAAAACAATTCTGTGTTTTATCGAGGGGGTCCCCTCGTATTTCAAATACCTAGGAGTTCTTGGAAAATATAAAATACTCTACACACACAAGTTAATCATTAGGTGAGACTGTGAGGACATTGGATCTGATATAAAGTACACTGAGTGACTTCAGCATCTCACATCTATAATCCCAGTGCTTTTGGAGGCCCAGGCAGGAGAATTTCTTGAGACCAGGAGTTTGAGACCAACCTGGGAAACAGCATGAGAACCTTTCTCTACAAAAAATTTTAAAATTAACTGGGCATGGAGGTGCACACTTGCAGTCACAGCTAATGGTGAAACTGAGGCAAGGGGATCATTTGAGCCCAGGGTCCAAGGTTTAAGTGAACTATGATCACAACACTATAGTCTGAGTGACAGCAAGATCCTATCTCTAAAAAAAACAATTTAAAAAAGGCTGGGCTCGGTGGCTCAGCCTGTAATCCCAGCACTTTGGGAGGCTGAGGCAAATGGATCGCCTGAGCCCACGGGTTCAAGATCAGTCTGGGCAACTTGACAAAGCCTCATCTCTACAATAGATAAAAAAAAATTAGCCAAGCATGGTAGCGTGTGCCTGTAGTTCCAGCTACTTAAAAGGCTGAGGTGGAGCCGGGCTCGGTGGCTCAGCCTGTAATCCCGTGCCTTTGGGAGGCTGAGTGAGTGGATTGCCTGAGGCCGCAGGTTTGAGACCCACCTGGGCAGCGAGACCTCATCTCTACAATAAATCAAAAAAAAATCAGCCAGGCGTGGTAGTGCATGCCTGTAATTCTGGCTACTTGGAAGGCTGAGGCGGAAGGATCACCGGAGCCCAGCAGGTCGAGGCTGCGGTGGCCAGGAGCGGCCACTACATTACAGTCTGGGCGACAGAGTGAGACTCCAACTCAAAAAAAAAAAAGGCTGAGGTGGAAGGATCGCTGGAGCCCAGCGGGTAGACACTGGTGTGACTATGAGCAAGCCACTCCACTCCAGCCCGGGCGATGGAGTGAGACTCCAACTCAAAATAAATAAATGAATAAATAAATACTTTTTAAAAAATTAAGCAAGCTGGATGGCTTTACTGCAGTGAATCATCTTAGATGACCCCCAAAGGAGGGACTCACTTTAGGGCTGGGAACAAACTTGTGACTCATCCTCTCCTGTTGACTCTGGTTAGAATTATGCATTCAGGTGTTCTGAGGAAATGTTACAAATAAAGAAAAAAACTACTGTATGACTTTTCAAGTCACACCTCTACCTTGAAATTATTAAAATCATTACAGGCCAGTCACAGTGGCTCAAGCCTGTAATCCCAGCAATTTGGGAAGCTGAGGGGAGGGGATTACCTGAGGCCCACGAATTCGAGCACAGTCTGGGCAATTTAGCCAGATCTCATCTCTATAATAAATCATAAAATTAACCAGGCATGGTAGCACGCACCTGTAGTTCTGGCTACTTGGAAGGCTGAGGCAGAAGGATTGCCGGAGCCCAGCAGGTCAGTGCTGGGGTGGCCATGAGCATGCCATTGCACTCCAGCCTGGGTGATGGATGGAGTGAGACTGCAACTCCAAAAAAAAAAAAAACCAACAACAACAACCATTACATATGGAAAGTTTTCTGTGAATTCTGCTAGTCACTAAAGTCACTTTGTGGGATATATTCTTCTAATTTTGACAGCCCAGTTGAGATTATTTTTGTTCCTAGTATGTTACTGTTATCATTTCAACAAAATTAAGCAAGACGTGTCCTCTTCTTCCCTGAACAGTGGAGGTGAAGCAAAACTGCCTGAGTAGCCGGACCTCATTCCAGGGATGTTTGAGAAGATTCACACTGACTAAGGGCCCACAGGTGCAGTCCTTTGACTTCAGCAGAGCGTTTGAACTACAAGGAGTTTTCCCTCATTCCTGCCCTGGGACCGAGTCCTAAATTTCAGTCAAAATCGCTAACATGTTGAGGAGAAATATATTTGTGAATTAAAATCTCTTCAGTTCAGATTTCATTTCCAACTCAGGTTAAGTGTTTCCAGAGACAAATGTTGTGTTTCTGTTCAACTAAAACCACATGTACAACAAATACCTCCATTAAATGGTCCAAAATGTACATTGAAGTCATTGGCTCTCTTTTTTTTTAAAAGTTATTTTAAAATGAATCTTTGTAAACATTGAATGTTCTGTTGATTACTTGACAGTATTTTATGTTTTTCATTTTGAACTTTAAAAAAATAAAGTGCCACCACAGATTATAATAGATTAGAGCAAAGTATGAATACTTTCATTTCTTTATGAAAAATGTGAATTCTATTTGTACAACAGACAATGTCATTGGCTGATTCCAGAAGAGGACACCAGCCATCTGTCAGCCTTTAAAGAGGCTCCAGTCAATCACAGGAAGAAAGGAAGAAGGTGAAATTTTTTGCTGCAGTGTCCTTTTCTGTCTGGACAGCACATTTTGCAGGACAGACACACACAAAAATGGAGTCGACTGGGAATGGTGGCTCATGCTTGTAATCCCAGCACTTTGGGAGGCCAAGGTGAGAGGATTGCTTGAGCCCAGGAGTTCAAGACCAGTCTGGGCAACATGGTGAGAATTTGTCTCTAAAAAAAATAAATTTAATCAGCCGGGCGTGGTAGTGCGCACCTGTAATTCCAGCTACTCGGAAGGCTGAGGCTGGAAGGATCACTGCAGCCCAGTGGGTCGAGGCTGCGGTGGCCGGGAGCGGCCACTGCACTCCAGTCTGGGTGACGGAGTGAAACTCCAACTCAAAAAAAAAAAATTTTTTTAATTAAAAATAGCTGGGGGCCGGGCTCGATGGCTCAACCTGTAATCCCAGCACTTTGGGAGGCCGAGGTGAGTGGATTGCCTGAGCCCGTGGGTTCGAGACCCACCTGGGCAACTTGACGAGACCTCATCACTACAATAAATCAAAAATTAGCTGGGCATGGTAGCACGCACCTGTAGTTTCAGCTACTTGGAAGGCTGAGGTGGAAGGGTCGCCGGAGCCCAGCAGGTCGAGGCTGCGGTGGCCAGGAGTGGCTACTGCACTCCAGTCTGGGCGACAGAGTGAGACTCCAACTCAAAAAAAAAAAATAACTGGGCATGGTGTCACATGCCTGTAGTCCCAGCTACTCAGGAGTCTTAGGTGGAAGGATCACCTAGGCTCAAGGGATCAAGGCTGCAGTAAGATATGACTGTGCCTCTGCACCGTAGCCTGGAAGACAAGAGTGAGACTTCAACTCAAAAAAATAGAGAGAGATGGAGTTACCACAAGTTAGCACTTCCTTTATTTTCAGTCTTATTTTCACCACTTGGAATGAAACAACCTGCCTTGATCAGGTACTTTTTTTTTAGAGACTGTGTGTAATTTGAAAAGAAGGAGGATTTAAAAACCGGATAGAGTATTCTCTGAATGGGCTAAGCGTCTGCAAACCCAGAATTCTGAAGTTGCATTAGGTCCCCTCCAAATTCATTTTAGTTCTGCTCTGTGGCCATGGCTGGGGTCACAACAGCTGCAGTCCCATAAGCCTTAGAAAAATGTTTCCATTTTTCAAAGGTTTACTTGAAAAGAAGTCTCTCCTATCTTAGCAATGGCCTACTTTTCCAATATGGAAAAGGACAGATTCAGTATCTATGTCTGTGAGAGATTTTTATTTGATAAAAACAAAGAAGGCAGCGGTGTTCCTGGTCCCTATCTCTCTTCTGTGCCTCGATTGCGTTTCTGAATCCTGTGACAATCTGCATCTCTTGGTAGATCTATTTGACATTTGTAATTCCTTCCCAATTAAATACCAGCATAAAGATCTTTCTTAGAGAAAGGCAGCCAGTGTGAAAGCACTGACTGTTGGAGTCGCACCTGGCGGTGTGAGGCGTGTAGACTCCTAAAGGCATCTCACCTGGACAGCTGGGTTTGGAAGGGACACTTGCCGTCAGAGTGGCGGTGCACATGCACAAGGGATTGTTTGCCATACTGCAAGTAGCCTTTCTGTGCGTGCCTCTGTGGGAGCTATGGCTAGAGAAGAGGACTCAGGCATCCTAGATCTTGGTCCACCATATTGGGTGAGGAAGTGACCAAAACCAAGACAGAGAACAGACTCTGTAGAGTGGCCTTTGACTTCACACTCCCTCCACGCCCCCCACTAATAGAGCTAAAACAGAGTTGGGGCTCTTCATGGTTATAACTGCTTACAAGGCCTCTATGAAAAGATTCCTTCAAAAGAAATTATACTTCCCACCTTGACCTTTCGGAGAACACACGGGGTTTCGATTTCCCCGTGACTGTGATCCCTGGCTCCCAGGTCAGGCTCCAGGTCAGGCACCATCTCTGATTCTCATTTGCAAGTTCTCATGCTGGTCCCTTAATCTCTCTCAGCAAGTCTGGATTCAGGCCCTTGGAGTGGACTTGTCAGATAAAACACAGGACCCTCAGTTAAACCTCAATCTCAGATAAACAGTGAACAAATTTTTAGTAATAAGCCTATTCTAAATATTGTCCAACATCTTGTGTTTATTATTTACTTAATCTGGCAACCCCATATAGAGACCTCAAAGACATAAAACTATTATGACAGCCCTTCTTTCACTGCCAAACAGTTCAAAATAAAAACAGGTCTATATCTTAAAGAACATGCAACAAAGTTCATCGAAGATCATATTTTTCCCGTGATGCTCTTACTGAAATATCAAATTTTTTCCCCAAACCTGTTATTGGTGCTCCAAGTCTTTGTTTAGTTTGCCTATTAATCTAGAACTTTTTTTTAATTGTGGCAAAATACAAATAACATAAAATTTACCATTATAATCATTTTTAAGTGTACAGTTTCATGGAATTAAATTTGTCATAATGTTACACAATCATCCTTACCATCCATCTCCCGAACACTTTTCATTTTATAAAACTGAAACTGAAACTGGGAGCAGTGGCTCAAGCCTGTAATCCCAGCAGTTTAAGAGGTTTTTCTCAGCCCACGGGTTCAAGAACAGCCTGGGCAACTTGGCAAGGCCTCATCTATATAGTAAATCATAAAATTAGCCAGGTGTGGTAGCGCATGCCTGTAGTTCCAGCTACTTGGAAGGATGAGGCAGAAGGATTGTTGGAACCCAGCAGGTCGACCCTGGGGTGGCTGTGAGTGTGCCATTGCACTCCAGTCTGGGCGACAGAGTGAGACTCCAACTCAAAAAAAACAAAAAACTGAAACTGTACTAATTAAACAATATCCCTTCTTCATTTTTCCCCCGTGTCCCCACCATTCTTTCTGTCTCTGAATTTGACCACTCCTGGTACCTCATATAACTGGAATCACGCAGTGTTTGTCTTTTTGTGACTGCCTTCTTTCATTTGGCATGTTTTAGAATGTCTTCAAGTTTCATCCATGTTGTAGTATATGTCATAACTTCCTTCCTTTTAAGGCTGAATAATATTTCATTGTATGTATATACCACATTTTGTTTATCTATTCATCCCTTTCTACCCTTTGGCTATTATGAATAATGCTGTGATGACCATAGGTATACAGATATCATTCAGAATCCCTGCTTCCAATTCTCGTGGACATTTACCTAGAAGTGAAGCTGCTGGATTGTATATTAAATCTATATGTGATTTTTTGAGGACTCATCATACTGTTTTCCATGGCATCCAGCACTGTTGTAAACCTTAATGTTCTTATCTGTAAAAGGGGGTTGTGAGGAATATATTTAGAAAGTATTATTAAAATTGATTTTAAAAGAAAGTGCACTTGGATAAGCCAATAGCAACATTGAACTTAGTGAAATTTAATCTTCAGTCACACCTTTCTATAAAAAAAGTCCAACAGCTAAGTGGATTTATAGACAAGCTTTAATAAACATCAGAAAAAAAGAGTAAAAGACTAACCAACTCATTTAATGAAGCTGGTACAATTGTATATAAAATAATCATTATGCTGGGCACAGTGGCTCACGCCTGTAATCCTAGCACTTTGGGAGGCAGAGACAAGAGGATTGCCTGAGCTCAGGGGGTCAAGATCAGCCTGGGCAACTTGACGAGACCACGTCTCTACAATAAATCGAAAAATTAGCCGAGTGTGGTGGCACACACCTGTGGTTCCAGCTACGTGGAAGGCTAAGGTGGAAGGATCACCTGAGCCCAGCAGGTCGAGGCTGTGGTGGCCGTAAGTATGCCACTGCACTCCAGCCTGGGCAACAGAGTGAGACTCTTACTCAAAACAATAAAATAAAAATAAATAATTATAGACCAACTTTACCTATGGACTTATATTGTATACATCTTTTATAAAATACTAATTCAATTTAGTCCTTAAGGGAAAGTTATGACTAATTGCCATTGAAAACTTGTGAATTATTCTTCTATTCTCAAACATGACAATTTTTTTTATTGTGGTAAAAGCACTGAGCATGAATCCTCCCTCTTAACCGCTTTTTTTTTTTCCTTTGAGTTGGCGTCTTACTCTGTCACCCAGGCTAGAGTTCAGTGGCATACTCGCAGTCACTCCAGCATCGACCTGCTGAGCTCGGGTGATCCTTCCGCTTCAGCCTTCCAAGTAGCCGGAACTACAGTCGCACACCACCACACCTGGCTAATTTTTTGATTTTTGTAGAGACGAGATCTCGCCAAGTTGCCCGGACTGGCTTAACCTCTTTTAAGTGCACAGCACAGTATTGTTAACTATAGGCATATGTTGTACAGCAGATCTCCTGAACTTACTCATCTTGCATAAGTGAAGCTTCATACACATTGAACGGCAACTCCCCATCTCTCCCTGTCCCTCCCCCATGGCAGCCATCCTGCTCTCTGCTTCTATGAGTTTCACTATTTTAGATACTACATATAAGTGGAATCATGCAGTATTTGTTCTTTTGTGAGTGGCTCATTTCACTTAGCATTATGTCCTCCAGACTCATGCATGCTGTTGCCTCTGACAAGATTTCCTTCTTTTTAAAGATAGTACAATATTCCATTGTATACACATACTATGTTTTCTTTAGCCATTTAGCTATCAGTGAACATTTGAGTTGATTTCTTATCT